CCCTGACCTTGAGTCACCCTGACCTTGTATGTCCAGCCTGCAGAACTGAGTTATAAACTTTTGTTGCTGAAGCCACCCAATCTGTGGTACTATCTTAGCCCTAGAAGGCTAATTTAAATGTCCAAGTGCCACTTCTTCCCCAGTCCTTAAGGATAAACTTGTGCCCATGAAGAGGAAGCTGCCAGAATGCCTTCCATGATCCATTTAAAATTAAAATGCTCATTTTGGTCCCTCCTTGGTGGCACAACTGGTTAAATAGTAGCACTAGGAAGTACAAGTTGGATCCCCATCCAGGGAGGTGACCCACATGGTATGGCAGACCTCTCCTGTCTCTCCCATTATTCCCCTCAGTCCTGTATTTCAGTACATCTGTCTGTCCTGCTCCCCACTCTGTCTCTGGTGAATTCTCTCACCCCCCACACCTCTGGCCTGTGCCCCAGTTCTTGTGTGCATAAATAAATACATCTTTAAAATATTAAATTAAAATGCTCATTTTCTCAAAAAGTTCCATAAAGGTGATTTATTGAATATTTCAAGCACAAGGAAAATTGTGCTCCTAACAAAAATTTTTTGTTCTTTTAATGTCTCTGAAATTACACCAGATATGTTGTTTCACTTCCTTTTCTTGATCCCCTTGTATCCAAGATGATATCTTGAGCTATTCCGGAGTGTACAGAGAGTTAACATGTAGTTGCTTTCTGAAGAGTCCTGATTTAACCTAACTGTATTAGAATTGGCACTTGATTATTCCGATATGATCATTTGCATGATTTTTAGTGCTATAATTGTTGAAAGCTGATATTAGGATCTTAAAAGTGGCATAGTTTATTCAGAGATGCTTAGTGCCTTATAATAACAACCATATTGGGTGCATTATGCAGTAATAATGGAAATTGCATTTGCAAAATAGTGGTGGTAATAGAACATTGTGAAATGCAAGAAGTGGAGAGAGCAGACTGGAAAGAAAATCATGTTTTATTCACAGCATTTTGGCTGTCTGTGTTCTCAGGCAAAAAGGCAGCAAAAAGCTGGGTTTTTTTTGTTCCTCAGGGCTACACCCCATCCCTCTGGGCCCCAGGACTTAATCATACCTATACAATTCTGATTGAAGTGGGGAATTTTCAGTCACTTGAATCAAGAGGGAGTGAGGGTGCTGTCATGTCTGAAAATACTTCTGCTCTTTAATTAGCATTTTGGTGAATGAAAACCAGATTTCCATAGAATCCTTATATTTGTTATGCTTTAGCCTAATTTGGTTCTTTCCAGTTGCTCATAACAGCTGATTGATAGCTTATTTAAAAATATGTGTATCCCCTCTACTTCAAGATAGTTTTAAGGTCAGTTTTGGGTCGATCACCCTAATCCCTTCAATACTTTCACTTACTGATCACATTCTATATACCAACTTACAGAAAACCATTGTAAAAATATACCTATGAGGAAACTTGGAAACTCTGAACTACGTGAGAATTCAAAAATCAACAAATGGTGATACTGACTTTTGGATACCAATTAGAAAATTTTATGAGATTTTTTGACTAAATATTCCTTTCAGCAATTTCATTACCCTCATTCAGGTATATTTTGATTAAAAAAATTCAAAGGGTAAACAGACATGGAAGTTCCAGGCTAGCAAAGATGAAAAAAGAGTCAACTCTTTTGTGTCCAACTCACAGGACTATTTTAGTCATGTGTATGCCCACATAGAACCTGCCTTTGCTTCAGAAAAGAAAGTATTTTTTGCTTTTTTTTTTTTTTTTAAACTTCTCTCTGATTTTGGAAACACTGCAGTAACAAGCTAGTTTGTAGTTACCTAGCCCTTATTAAGGCCTCCTGGTATTTTTAGGGTTGCCCCTAGCACTTCTTGGCAGACCAGGAGGTACAACCTCAGGAGCCCAGACAAAGCAGTTCCTTAGAGCAATTATGTCTAAGTTCTGCGCATTTCCTTCCACCCAGCTGTGAAATAACACAAGGAATGTTTACATTGCCTTGAGAATCTCATCTGAAACTCTTATCAAAGAGGCATGTGTTGAGAGAGAGAAGAGGTTGGGTTGGGACTGGACTTGTGGTTTAGCCAGGTGTATGTATGACCACATGGACTCTGCCTTCTAACCAAGCAGAGAGATTTCACTTTCAGGGGCAGGCACTGGGGACTTCAGTCATTAGCTGTCACTCTTCCTCGGTGTGGTCAAATTAACTCCCCCTCCATTTCTTGGCAGCAAAAAGTCATTTTTACCAAATCCTTTCTACCTATACCCATAGACTGAAATGTATGTGGGAGATAATTCTTTAAGCTTCAGAGTGCTCTCCAAATGTGAAATGGTGACAATGAGAACAACATTTCTACTACTGATCCATATTCACTCTCCAAATAAAAAGTATTTTTCAAACTAAAAGGCTTTTGGGAACTCTGGGTTACCATTTTCCCAATTGTGTTTTAGGGGCAGTCAGCATTGTGCAGTGGTTAAGAACCTGGTCTTTGAAGACAGCCTCAGAGCAAATTTCATCACTATCTCTCTAGCTGTGTGGTTGGGGGTGGGTGACCCTCTGCATCTGGCTTCCTAAACAGGAAGTAAACAGGACACTACCAGAATGACCCTTGTAGGAGTGGAGAGGATGAAATAGATACTGCAAGATGAAGCACATAGCACAGTGCCAGGCATATGGAAGCACTCAGTAAGTAATTAGCTTTCTTGCATGCTGGAGATATTCTAATGGACTTTGTACAAAGTCAGCAAAAGGCACATATTCTTATAACTTGATTAATCTTAAAATCTCTCCTACATATTCCATCTTACCCAAATGTAAACTTAGAGTTATTAAATGAGCAAAGACTGTTGTTAAGTATGCTGTGCTGGTATATACTGTTTACGATATCTTGGAATAATAATAAAATACTATTGCTACTACTACTAATAGCAGTAGTAGAAGAAGCAAAATATTTTTTTGCAAGTCCAATGTTCAAATTCTTAAGAATTTTTCCCCTGATTTCCAGTGATGATGAAATTGGAAGGGGTAAGGTTTGTGAGGTTCTAGCAGGCAGTATCCGTCACTGTGAGCCACCTCTCTCTCTCTCTTTCTCTCATTCCCCCATTAATAAGAGATGATGAACATGTTTCATGTACCTATTTGTCATCTTTATGTTTTCTTTGATGAAATGTCTATTCAGATTTTTCTGCCCGCTTTTTAAATTATATACCCTTAAAGATTATTTAAGGGTTGTGTAATGTGTCCAATATAAATGTATCAAAATGTTTAACCATTTGCTCAATTATTAATTCATTTAAGTTATTTTTAGCCACAGTCTTCACCCCCCCAACCCGCTCTCCTTGACATCTCAACCTGAGACCTTCTCAGCATGTTTTCTGATGCTTACTGGTTTTTCAAAGTGTTTTATGTTACTGAATTGCTTGCTATATAAATGTTCAGTACTTGTTTTCAACATTCTGACTAGTTTGCTGCATATAAGTCTCTCAGTTCCCTCTGTTTTGTTGAAAAAGACTCCATTCCCTCCTTTCTTGTACCTACGTAATGCTCATGTTGTATATGTACCATATCATCTTGATCCAGTTGTTCTTAGCTGGGCATTTAGGCTGCTTCCATGTCCCAGTTACTATAAATAATGCTGCTGTGGATATTGTGAGACATATGGGGGTTGTTGTTGGTGTTTTCACAGTCTATGGATATATGCCCAAGAATGGGATTGTGGGTCATCTGGTATTTCCATTTGAAGGTAAATCTAGATTGCCTTCCTTCCATAATGGTCTAATGAGTTCCCATTTCCACCATCAGTATCATAGGATTCCTTTTTTCTCTAAATTTTCTTCACCACTTGTTGTTGGTGGTCTTTTTAATATGTCCCAGTCTCATAGGTATGAGGTGTTATCTCATTGTTATTTTAATCCCTATCTGTTATTAAAAGTGATGATGAACATTTCTTTTCGTGTCTTTTGGCCTCTGGATGTCCTCTTTCATAAATTGTACATATCTGCTGCTGTTATTATTATTTTTTAATTGTTGAATTGTATCATTTTTTTTTGTATCTTGGATATCACTCCCTTATCTGTTATAGCTTGTGAAAATATTTTTTCCCATTCAGTAAGTGTCTATTTAATTATCTGGTATTTTCTTTCTTTGTATTGCAGCTTTCTAACTTGAGATAATACCAGTTATTTATTTGTTTTTAATTCTCTTAACATAGCCATGCAGTCACCAGAAATATCTATTATTCGTTCATCAAACATGGTGCCACTGTTTTTTTCTTGTTTTCTGTTTTTTTATTGTTGCAGAATTTGTGTCTAAGTCTTTAATCTATTTGGAATTTATTTTTGTGTGTGGCATTAGTGAATAATCCAACTTTATTCTTTTGTGTGGCTTTCTAATTTTCCCAGCATCATTTATTAAAGAGACTTGCCTTTTTCCTATTTTTTTGGTCATGGGTGTATTATTATGGATTAGGTGCTGGTATGTACATGGATTTATTTCTGGGCTTTTGATTCTGTTTTAGTGGCCCAAAGTATCTAGTTTTCTGCAAATTCCATGCCATTTGTTTTTTCTGTTGCTTTATAAGGAGGTTTGAAGTCAGGTAATGGGATTCCTCCATTTATCTCCTGTTTTACCAGGTTTGCTTTTGCAGGTGTATAAGCCACCATCCTGTTAAGACGTGACTGGGCTTCTCAGGTTGGTGTGTGGGTTGCTGGGGAGGGCTGTGGACATAGAGGGCCCCCAACACTCTCTGGAACAACTGCATCCCTTCCCACTGTGCAGCAAGCAAGAGGGCGCACTGATTTTTTGCTTGGCATTTCATTATTTGTAGGTTAAATTTGGTACAAAGTGAGATTAGACATTTTGTATCATAAATGGCCATTTGAAAAAGGCCTCACCACTAAAACTTAGACAATTCAGTTTTCTTGGGAGGCGTTTACACATGATGCTTCTGATATCAAGCTGATACTTTCAACAGCATTTAAATCTGTTAATCTCATTTAATTTTCTAACAGATTGATGTTCTCAAAGCAGATCTGGAAAGTGCAGAATGGAAAGTCTTAGAAAATCTTATCCTGGAAGATGTCCTTGAGCAGATCGGACAGCTCATCTTTGAGATCCATCTCCACTGGCCTGGGTTCGAGGTCAGTGGCAATGACAGCAGTGTAGTGCGCTTTTGGTATAGCCTCCTGAAAGAGCTAGAACGAAAGGACTTCAGACTTTTCCACAGTTACAAAGATTTATCTAAACCTCAGCTTCTCCTGAAGAAAGACATTTTCAATGCAAGTAGCGGTTATACTCTGAGCTGGGTGAATACACGATGGAAGTAGGCCGCAGGACATCAGCAAGAACTCCAGGACAGGCTTGTGGAATGAAATAACGTGACTGTGATTCCAACTATCCTCACCTGTCCACCTCCTGCCCCCCCCCCCAGAGGTGGGGACAGTGTGATTCACTTCGTAAGACATATAAACTGGTGGCTGTCATGTGGTAAAGGCGCAGTTAACTCTCGAAGGGATGGGCCCAGGAACATGGCAGGCATCAACCTCCGTGTGCTGTGGCCTGGCACTCCGTCTGGTGGCCTCTGACAGTGAGGTGCTATCCTCCTTCTCTTTACTCCACACTTACCGTTTCCCCACATTCCATTATGCTTCTACAAAGCAGGAATTCATCAACATTAAAAAATAAATTCTATATTTTTTCCATTGCTCCTCGGTTGATGAGATTCTTACGTTTGTAGGCTACTGTTGAAATTAGGGCCGTTCATTTGACTTTACTCCCCTCCTTTTAGATTTTCTCCTAGGCCTTGTCAGAAACATTCTTGACAGCCTTTGCTGAGGCCTTGCTGTGATGCTGTGGCTTTGGAAGACCTAATTCTGGTTTCAGGGAATTCAAATTCAAAATAGTAGACTATGAGGAAATTTGATTCAGGATACTTTTCATACTCAGTTCTGCATTGACTTTTGTTCCTATAAAACTAAGGATAATGCAGAACTTGGGCTCTTTACTGTTGCCTCTCCTAACTTCAAAGCTGCTTTATCCACCACACAATTGCCAATGCTTGTTAATTTTTTTTTTTAATACTCATACTTCCAAATATTGGTAGCAATTTTTTTTAAAGATTTATTTATTTATGCATACAGAACTGGGGTACAGGCGAGAGGTGCAGGGGGTGAGAGGATTCACCAGGGACAGAGTGGGGAGCAGAACAGGAAGATTGACGAAGTACACTGCTGAGGGGAGCAGCAGGTGGGTCAGGAGACGTCTGCCACACCATGTGGGTCGCCTCAGAGGTGGGGATCCAGCTCGCACTAAAGTGGCTACGGCCAGTTTTCAGTACTGCGTCCTAACCCGTTGTGCCACCATGGAGGGCCCAGTTGTTAATTTTTTTTTTTAATTTAAAATACATTATCTCCTAAGCCAGAAAGAGAAAGAAAAATACCGGATGGTTTCACTCATAGCAGGAGTATAATGAACCAGGCGAGAAAATAACAAAAATAATGAACAACCATATACCAGAGATAATTTG